GTTGCGGTTACGCTTGCACTTCGAATGTTTGATTCGCGTCCACAGCATTCGCATGTGCTTTTCCCTTAGGGACAAAGTTCTGTTGCGGGGCATTATTAGCTATTTGGCCCCTTTCCACCTTCTTCCTTTTAAGGAATCGCTCGGCTCGTTCTCCTCGCACCTTTAAATCCTTCCAGGTCTTTGGCGGTGCCATTCCCATAGTTTCGAGGATGTCCAATGAAAGGTTATTGTGACAAGTTTCGAGGATAAAGTCTTCACTGACCGGATCCCTGCAATTCATTGCTTTGTTTCGGAATCTCTTCACGAAGTTTTCGACCGTCTCACCATTTTTCTGCTTCTCGTCAAATAGTGTGCCGATTGAAATCTCGGTGTCGTCGTCGAAGAAGTTCGTCAGAAACATATCCTCCATATCATCCCAACTGCTGATACTCCCCGGTTTGAGGCGACGATACCAATCGAAGGCTGCTCCGCGAAGAGTGCCCACGAATGACCGCAACATTAAGGGTTCATTGCTGGAGATTATTCCTAAGTGAGACTTAAAATATATTAAGTGTTGGGTAGGGGAACCCTTTCCATCAAACGGCGTAAAGTTGATTAAATTAAACTTTGCCGGATATGGAATTGATTCCCACTCCCTTGGGTATGGACATGGTATACCGGATCTCTTTACCTCTTGAGCATTCATCAACGCGTTGATTTTGCTCTCCAAGTCCTTCATTTTCTTGTCTTCACTCGTATTTGTCTTCGAGTGGCTTCGGGGAGAGGTAACATGGTCTTCCTTCGCATTATCATCCGAGGGACCGCCTCCGCCATTGTTGTTGACAGGAGGGATATTTATGTTGACATTATCCTCTTCCCGTTCATTCTCCTGTTGATTCGGATTATTGCCACGACTGGGTTCTCCTTGGTGAGTTGTTAGTGTCACGATTTGCTGGTCATGCATCTCTCTCATCTGCTGCATGGCCATCTCCATCTCGAATTTGAAAGTTTCCTTCTGCTTAGTCAGGGCCTCTTCAAGCATCTTGCTTACTTGTTCGGCGCTGATCATAAGTGATTCGTAGGGCTGTCCCGCACTAGACGCCGTGTCATCGGATGCTATAGCCGAGTAGGAGTCTGAACCAGCATCTGACACCTCCTCTTCCAAAGGAAGTCCCTTTTGCATCTTTTGGTAATTCTTTCGCTTATTGATTCCTGACCGCAACCGAGTCATACGCCGGGATACATCGGCAAACTGATCTGAGCTAGAGTGTCGTGTCGATTTCCCTCTGCCGGTCATATTAGCAGACACCTCCAGGAACTCGTCCTCTTGGCGAACATGCTTCTTCCTACAGAAACGCCTTGGCTTGGTCTCGGACGTTCCGATAGAAATTCTTTCGAACACCGAAACTCTCCTTGGGGTTTTAGCGCAGCAGCATTCCGACAGCACCGCCTTGATTATGTTGGCACACGGACAGTGGGATTCTGTGTTTCGAGTATCTCTCTTTCGAGACTTACCCGCACCCCCAGCTCTATAGTACAACTCATCAGTTTGATAACTGGAGCAACCCATAGAGTGTTGGCATGACCTCCCAGGTATAACACCATCATCATCAGACGAATGTGTTTTTCTCTGGGGATACGACGCTTTATTAGCGTCTCCAAGAGTCACTCGTTCACTCTTACGCCTTTAAGAGCGTGAAAGTCCAACGGGCTCTTGAACTTCGACTCGCAATCCAATGCGGTCGGTAATAGGGGCTTTCCCTTTGTTAGTACGACCCCCAGTCTTGACTGTTGTTTGGGGACTTTTCAACGGTCCCAATCGCTCCTTGACGGGTGCTTTACCTCGATCTTCGGGATCGAGGCGACCCTTCAAAGGACCCCTGGATTTAGTGAGATCCACGTTCTTTCCTGACTCCGTCGGAGGCGCGGGTACAGGGGAAACGGGATCTGAATTTGAAATAGGCTGGATGATAACTCCGCCTACTTTTGCCTTAAGTGATGGTTTTATCTTTGGCACCCAAACTTGCTTGCGCTTAGGCGGCTTCTCCACTGCTTCTCCCCTCTGCATTTCTTTCGCTTTCTGCAAAAGGGCTCGGGCATGTACGAGCAATGCTCGACGCTTCTTGATTCGCTCCTCGAGGGTGGAGCGGGTCCTCTTGACACGAACCCATTCGTTCGTTTCTGTCTTGGAGGAGGAGTTGGTTGTTTGCCGTTATTGTTCCCGACGCTGCCTGGATTTTAGATCCACATTATAGCGGATCCCGTCCATCGGCTCCAAAGCCTTGGCCAGCTGACGAGCAAGGCGTTGACGCCGTCTTTGGCGTGCTCTCTTTGACAATGCTGGAGCGTCTTCAGTAGCCATCTTCTCGGCGGAGGAGAAGTCCGGATCTGCGGTCTCGACCACGTTGTTGGCTCCCACTGTGGTCGCCAGTTTGTTTTCGTCGAAAGTTGCCTTCATCATTGATTTCATTAAAAACTTCAAACGTTACAAATGAATTCAAATAACAAAAATAAAAATTATAACTTTCTTGAAAATAAACACAAGATCCGTTTATCGTCTCTTGCTTGCGTGGGTCTTTAGCCTGTGACGGGGACGTCGATATCCGTGGACTACCTGGAAATCTGATCTGATCCAGAAAATTCGGGCAGAGCTTCGTTGATCCGCGAGGAGATCTAGAAACTTGAAGCGCCTATCTCGGATAAAGCGAGATATTTGCTCTTCTTAGGATTACCGACGAGGGGTAATGCTAAGGAACGGATGCGGGTGATGTGGATCTGATGAAGAACTCCCTTGTGTTGAAGTGCTCGACCACTCTTCACTGCAGCAGGGCTTCGCCAACTCTCTAAAAATCCAGATCCTCCAAAAATGAGGCCTTAGGTTGCTATTTATAGGCAATGGGGGCACCTAGGGTGCCTAGACACCCCTGGGGTGTTTCGGCTTGGCCGAGACACCCCTGGGGTGTTTCGACTTTCCCGAGACACCCCGGGTGTCCCAGTTCAGCCTGAGACGCTCCGTTGTGTATGTTTGATTGTTTCCGCCGTAAATTCTTCGTCCGAACTCGGATTTGAGTGATTCCAAGTGCGTTGGAAGCCTGACGAAGAGTTCTACCCGCTCTGATGGTTGGATTATCTGTAGGATGAACGAGATATGGAGGACGTTGTTCCTTTTGTAAACACCGCAGGGTTCCCGATTAGCTCGTGCCTTCGTAGTTTGTCGATTTGCTTCAATCGTTCATCGACATCAATCGAACTCCTGTGGATCGGATAGTGACGTTCATCGTCGTTCTTTAACACTGAGCTGTTCGTGAAGACCTATGGGCAATTTTCGATGCCTACATAGGTCTAACAATTTATATGTATGTTACTATTATGATTGCTTTGACATTGTAATACCCTATGACAGGAATGCTATTGGTTCTACTCTGTTCAACCAATGGTTGCAAAATTTGCAGAGTGAAACATGCCTTTTAGTTTAGGGGAAAAATGTGTTTGAGGCAAGTACAAATTCAGGTAGACTTCTGGTAAGCCTTCAAAGAAATCTTGATATCTTATTGGATGTTATAGATTTAAATTTTAAAAAGTTAATTGTAAATATGCCTAACTTGAAAAAGATATCTATCTCTTCATATTAAATGACAATCATCATAATACAGCAGATTTTTACAAATTCACATGAAGCACGCATGTGGCTTGTAGATTCAGGTTAAATGGGCTTATATTATTGTTTTTTGCAGTTATAAAAAGCAAACTATTCAACAATTCTCGAATTTGCCTTAGTAGTGTTTAAGAAAAAACCCCTGAAATTCCATAAGCTTCAAACACATAAAGAAACATATAACATGACCTAAACCTACATTTAAATCCACTAACAAAAACCCACTAACAAAATCTCAAAAACCTACATTTAAATCTCATTCCATTATCACCCTAAACTTCAAAAAGCTTTCTCTACATTATGAATAAGTGATAATACACAAAATTTCCACTATTTTAATGGGTTTAATGTTGAGAAGGAGGAAGAAAGGGATTCCTGGGGAAAATCTTTTCAGTCTTGGGGTATAGAATTCAAATGTCGTGTTTAAACATAATTCTAGATAGCAATATAATGGAATGTACCAAAGTTGAATAACTATGAATTTTGGGGTACTTTTTGGGCAAAAGTGCATTCAGTGTATTAAAGCTAACAATTGGTAAGCCTTTAGAGCATCAAGGTGCAATTAACCCTTAATTTTTTAATAACTTCATGTTTTTTTAGTAGCAGTTATATATTCATGCATTTTTAACATGTTTCACCTGCACTTTTAAATGTTTACTAACAAAAATAACCAGACAAAAGCCCCTGAATATATTCAATTCATGGAAGGTCTTTGAGAAGAGGAGATATAGTAGATGTAAATGCAAACAATCGGACATGCATACATATACACATACACACACATGAAACAGTTTCTTATTGAGTTTTCTCCATCTCAATGGCTATGGAATATCCAACTATGCACAAGTCAAAGACAGATTATTGGTGAACATGGAGATGGCTTCGTATAGATGGACAACCTTCACGTAATGAGCAGACAAAACTATACCCTAAAGTAGTATGCAAATGTTGTTTGATGCTCAAAAGGATGCTTAAAAATATCAAGTGCTAATATTATAAATGAGGCAAACAATACACAAATAAACATTTGCAAAGATACTCTTAATGGGCATAAGATATATGGCAGCATGAGAGTAAATTGCATGAAAGAAATGCTGAGTATTTTCACAAGTAGATGTTTACTAACAAAAATAATCAGACACAAGCCCTGAATATATTCAATTCATGGAAGGTCTTTAAGAAGAGGAGATATAGTAGATGTGAATGCAAACAATCGAACGTGCATGCATATACACATACACGTGAAGGTTTTAGGATGTTTCTCTGCACGCTTACATGTAGACACACTGATGAGAAATAAATGAAAGAAAGCCAAAAGAGCAAGGTGGATAAACTTAAAACATTAGCAGAGTAAAAAAACACTCACGGGTAAGATTCTCTATTTCCTCAACAAGCTTTCTCATGTTCAAGGAAGTGCTGCTAGAAGCAGCTTTGTTTGTACCAGTAACAGCTACCCATGCAAAACAAAAAAGAATAAGAATCCTTTGCACATTTACAAGCAAAACAGAAAGTGATTCATTTATTTATACAGTACCAATACCCTTGAATAGTACAAAATTATAACATGTAAAGCTTAATATCCAATCACTGAGCATTTGAGGTTTAGATAGTATATAGCTATTGGCATGTCATGGACTCATGTGGCTCAATAAAGCAGCAGTTGTAATAATAGCATATAGACATCCCACATGTGTTCTCAATGGCCAAAAAAATTGTGAATCTCTGAAGATGAACTAATAAATTTGAAAACCATATCTTATCATAACAATAACCATAATCATAAATCATAAATCGTAAATGAATAAAATTGGAATATCATTGATGCAACATACAAAATTGACCACACATATTTAACACACAAAAACATATCATTCATAAAGTCGATGTTAAAGAAACATAAAGAGCTAAACATAAGTTTTTTGTCACATAATTAAAGCTGATAAAAACAACTGAAGTTTATGAAATTTTCCAACACTACGACTCACAAACTCATAAACTTAAATTTATTTTATTGACTTTGACATCTTTTTTCTAAGACCCGTGTTAACTCTTTTTTTTTTTTCTCCTGACAAAATTTCCAGATAGTTGCCAGAATGCCTATAGCTTCAGTAAACAATTTATTCGCTTCTTTTTCGTCTTTGATCTTAGCAGCAAAAGAAACATTAACTTCAGCAATAGTATGAGCATTTTTGCTAGGTATATCATCAGGATCTGAATCCTCAACCTTTATTTATTTATTTATTTGTTAACTTCATAAGAGCTCTCCTCATCATCATCATAATACTCCTCAATCGATGGTTCTTCATCATCATCATAAAGTCAAGCTGAAGTACCAATTGCTTGCTTGTTGGTTGAGTGACCCTTATTTAACATCTTTCTTTTCTCGCCTTCATCGTCACTTGATGAAATATCAATAATATTTTTGTCATTAGTAAAATTTTTAAACTCATAAGGTTTGGGAACTGATTTGCGTGTTGTACGTTTCATCATCTGTTACGAGTTAAAAAGGCAAAGATATGAAACTTTAACTAAGTCAATAATGATTTAATCACCCAAACAAATTAAGAATATGTAATTAACCAAATAAATTAAGAATATATAAATTGGAACAAGAAACAAACAATTATCCTCTTTTATAAGCTAGTACTGCAAACGAACTACATTCTATATATTCTGCTGCAGAGTAGACAAATATTCATTTGCACGGGCAAGCAAACATGGAAGGACAACAATCTGAAGCCACAAAATTTGCAGAATTAATGTAGGTACACAGTCTATAAAGAATCAATGTGTATGTCATGTATAAGCATAATCACTCAAATAACAAAAGGGCAAAAGGGATAAAATAAAAAACTCAGTTCAAGTATCAATGTTAATGATCTTAAATTGTTCATATCCACGTGCATCAGTCACCAAATACAAGCAACGCACAGTACGAGTGATCGGACAGACACTTCATCGATCTGCGAACTCATAAATACGGTTCATTAATGCCGGTCAGGTCCACTCGGATAACAGATGGCCGTTGCCTCATATACGAGAATGGGCCTTCCCATCGTAGGTGACAGGACATAAAGCACAATCCCTCGACAATAGAAGAAGTAATAAACATAAAATAGCACATCCATCCAACTCATTCCTGATATGCTTGCTCAAACAACCTTGCCTAGTTCAATTAACAAGGAAGTGATATCCCTCAGAACTAAACAAATCCATGAAATTTTTAATTTGATCCGCAATGTTATTTTATCATTTGAAATAAAATTATTGTGACTCTGGTTGTTTTTAAGTCAATCAAGGCAGTCTGCTAATGTTGTTCTGAAGTTTGAATTTGCTTGGCTACTAAAGGGTTAGCTAATGGAGTAAAATTCTGGGAATCTAAAGAACGCATCAGATGGATGTCTAGGGTGACGTGAGTGTCAAGTCATACTACAAGCACCATATTATAAGAAATATAGTTCCTATATGATATAGAACTACATGAACAAATAAAAAATTAAATATCAACAAACAACAACACCATATTATGTTAAAACAACAAATGCGAAAATATTCCTAAACAAAAATTTATGCATTCGTCCCAGTTGTGATCAAAATTAAAAAAAAGCATCAAAGTAATAATTAGACTTTTATGCAGGCTGAGAAAATTTATCCTTACACGCTCCGAAGGAAACCAAAATATCTTTACTCTCCACTCAAAAACTAACAGAAAATTTAACTCGGAAGGGGAAAAAATAAGCTCACATGCCTACCATAAATCACAGTAAATTCAATGACTTCAGCTAATTGCAGAAAACTCAAGTATTCAGGCTAATAATAAAGATTAAAAAATTTATTTACCTTGGTAGCTTTCTACTACTCCTATCAATCTCAAACCCCTGACATCAACAATCATGAATACCAAAAAAGGTAAGCCATCAATCAATCAACCAACAATAATAATACAAGAAATTATTAAAATTAAAATAAGGTAAAAAGAATAACCAATACTCGTACCTACAATTGGAAATAAACACCTTTCTTGCTCCATCAAAATTGAAGCAATACGTACTTATAGAATCACAAAAGAGTTTTGCTACAGGGACCCAAAATATGGGACCAATAGGTGGAACAAGTGAGGTGTCCCCCCTCTTATTGGATAATGAGTTGACCATCATTAATGATGACCAACTCATTATCCAATAGGAGGGGACACCTCACTTGTCCCTCCTATTGGTCCCATATTTTGGGTCCTTAAGGAATTTTTCATCACAAAATAACCTAAATTTTAGTCTGTGGGGATGGGGATGAGGATTGGAAAGCCCTAGAAATTATTACCAATTATAGTAACGGTTGTCAAGTGTTGAAAATGAAATAAATTGAGGTGAGGAGGTTGGCCGTCGAAATAATTTAGAGAGAGATGGGAAAGAGGGGCTGAGGAGAGAGAGATTGAGGAGGAATTTAGAGAGAGCGTTGTCATTGAGAAACAGAGGAAGTTGAAGCGAGGAGGCCGAATGTCGATTTAATTAAGAGACGGAGAGAGAGAGAGGGAGAGAGGAGCAGGCGAGAAAGCGGGTAACGAAGGGAAGAAAGAGGCGTTATCAAAGGGGATAGGATAGGATTGATGTTTTGCTTTTCAATTATTAATCTATTAATTAATAACAATTAATAATACTAATACTAATAATTTAATAAACAAAGATTACAGGAAAGATCAAAATAGGGAAAAAAATAGGATAAAATTTGAATTAGGAAATTTGTAATGGGAAAAATGGGTATGCAAAAGTTTTAACATTTGTTTTTACTTTTAGAAGTAATCCTCACCGGTGGTTGCATCTTATAATCTATATATTTTTTTTAATTTTATCCGTTTTTCCCCTCATATCCATTTATATTCTTGTCGTAATTACCACTTACATTTTTCTTTATATCCTAGTATGAAAATGAGTTTTTCTTAAAGAGGCATATTTGTACTCATATCAGCTTTTGTAATTGATAAGGCTCTGTTTGGATACCATGGTGTTTTACTTGTTTCCATTGTGTTTTTGCCAAAAATAAAACGCCACGCGTTTGGAAACCATAGTATTTTTTGAGCTAAATCATCCTCAAACCAAAAACACAACACTTATATCAAAACACATTTTAGGTGCTTTAAGTTTGGTGTTTTGGTTTTGAGTTTGAAAATGTGTTAATATAATATCTAATATGATATATTAAATGTATTTAATATAGAGTTATTATCAACATGCTTATTATATTATAGTTAATTTCATATATTAGTAATATATATTAAATAATATAAATATATAATAAATAAAATATCTTATATAATAATATAATAACATATTAAATACCAATATTTAATATGTTAATAATGTATTATATAATAACTAAATAATAATAAAAAAATAAAAAAAATTATTGATAGTAAATAATAATATAATAATGATATAATAATATACTATACAATAGTATAATCGCTATAATATTATTAACTTTTAAAAAAATAAATTTTAATAAAGTAATAATTATTAAATATTATATAATAATAACATAACAATATAATAATAATATTATAATAACATGTTGTATAGTACTTTTGTAATATAATATATAAAATATTAATATATTATGTAATAATTAATATAATTTATTATAAAGTAAAATAGTTTTTAATAATAAAATAATTTATTGATAACAAATGTCAATGTAAAAATTATATATTCATAATATAGTAATATTTATTTATATCATAAATACTAATGTATTATTAAAGTACTATTAATAAACTCTAACATATTAGAAACTATAATATATTATGTAATATTGAAATATTTATAATATATTAATTTATTAATAACATACTAGTAATAACATAATATTAACATTATTAATAATATTATATTATATGAATAATAGTATAATATTATAATAGTATAATATTATATTATATTAATAATAGTATAATATTATATTATATTAATAATAAAATAACATTATTATAAAAATATTAATATAATATATAACAATAACAAATTGATATAATAAAATAATTAAATATATAATTATTTGAAAATAACATGTAATAATTATAATATAATATAACTCATAAAGTACAATATAATATTATAATACATTATATAATATTATATTACATTACATTTAATATTTATAATACTATAATAATATAAACTAAATATTTTATTTTATTTACAATATATTATTATAACTAATATATAATATATTAATAATATGTTTAATACTAATGTTATAATGGGTCAAACTAGTGTTGACCAAAAATACTTAACATGGTGTTTAGAAAACATTTTAAGGGAAAAAACACAACACCATAGTGTTTTTTTACAAAAACACAACAAGGAAAACACCATAATATGTTAAAGTATTATGTTACAGTTGTATCGTTGGAAATGAGTTCTATACTCATTCACTATAATCCGACAAATTCTCTACAGAAACAAAATATTTTCTCATATCACATCTATAAACACCGATTTTATGGATTTGTCTCTCATTAATCCGTCATATGATTTATTTAGATCCACAATTTTTTTTGTTAGATGCAATTTTAACAGTTAACTGCTAAAATAATATTATCACGGACTTTTCTACAAAACGATCGATACTTAATCTCGACTCCTTCAAATCCTTCAGACTCTCAGCTCGACCTCATTCATGGTGATCTCCCCTTAAAAAAAAAAGCCCTAGATCTCCTTCAGGTCTCCACCAAATCTACCCCCAAATCCGAAACCCTAGAACTCCGCCATGTCGAACTCCGACACAGTCCCCCTCCACGCCTCCTCCCAGTCCGACATCGACGAGATCGAAACCCTAATCCACTCCGGCC